CTTCATTCCATCGTCGTTATCGTTCGATTTTCAGCTTAAAACGGTGTTATTGTTATGATTCAACTCAAATGCTTCATTCCATCGTCGTTATCGTTTGATTTTGAGCTTGAAACGGTATTATTGTTATGATTCAACTCAAACGCTTCATCCCATCGTCATTTTCGTTTGATTTTGAGCTTGAAAGTGTATTGTTATTTTCATTATGATCATGATTCAACTCCAATGCTTCAACACGACTGTATTTGGTTGATTTCGTATCTGATTGATTCGATTAGATCCAATTGGTTTCATGTCGTTGGAATTGATTGGTGAACCGTTGAAATCATTGGTGGAGATTGGGGATTTTTGATGGGGAATGTGAAGGATGATGGAAAGAAGATGGATCCATTGTTTCCAAGGCTTCATATCACTGAAACAGATAAAGGAGGTCCAAGAACACCTCCAAGAAACAAAATGGCTATTTCTCATCAGCTGAATGTACCATCTCAAAGATGTCTTACTGGATCAGTATCACCTATCTTACCTCTTTCCAACAACAATGGAAGTAGTTTGGTGCCTGCAAATTCTTCTTATCATGTGAGTTTTCTACTTCTTTTTCCCATTTTTTTACGATATTAATTGAACTTGTTTAGTAGGATGATGAGTTTCAGCACTCGTTTATGACCGAGGGCTTGTTTATTAGCAGTTTAACGAGCTTAATGGGACTTACAACTTATTCTATCAACTCTATAAGACTGTTTGGTTGTGGCTTATTATATAGAATGTGGCTTATTCAGTAGCTTTTTTGCAGAAAGACAAGTTTCTTTTCCAAACATGTCCCTCCTGATTAAAAATTACACTCATTCCATCTATTGAAAAACCTTCCCAAACAAAAACCTTCTCAATGTATATAAATAGATTAATCCAGATAGACAACTTTATTACTTAACTAGGTTTGACCCCATGTAATTAAATAAGGAAAACTGATAAGTCTGGAGGCCACTTCAGAGTTAAATTCAGACTTATAACTCTGATTTTTCCAAACTTTCATACTTGTATGTCTTACAAGTCTGGAAGACAACTCTGAATTTTAACCGAGGAAAAGAAGTTCAGACTTGTCCTCAGACTTTTATACTGATATGTCTTACAAGTCTGGAAGACAACTCTGAATTTTAACTGAGGAAAAAGAGTTCAGACTTGTCCTCAGACTTTTATACTGGTATGCATTATAAGTCTGGCAGACAACTCTGAATTTTAACTGAGGAAAAGGAGTTCAAACTTATAAGTCTAAAGAAGGGAAATCCAGACTTCTGCTTATTTAAGTATTTGAAAAGAAATCCCTTTTCATACGGAAATCAGTTATGTTTRCAGGGACAAATGTCAATTAAATAGGCCCATTTGAACCGGTAATGTAAATTGTGTGTAACCAAAGGGTCTTTGCCCTAGCGGTATCGTAGCCCTTGGCCTTCTAGGAGGTCAGGGGTTCAAACATCACCATAGATGAGGAGGGTGTGTGAGTTTATTTGTTGCATTTGCCGTATATAAATATTATATACTTAAAAAAAATGTAAATTGTGTGTACATACATGTTCAGCGTTCAGACTTCTAAGTCTGGAAAAGAAGCCTCCATATTTAGAAACTATAGAAAACATATCAGAGATTTCTAATTAGTCTGGAAAATCAGTTAAACCACGAAAAAAGGAAAATAAACGGTTAGAGGGACAAATGTCATTTAAATAGACCTATTTGAACCGTAAGTGAAAATTGTGTCTAGATACATGTTTAGGCGGGAAAAATTCAATAACCGTCGCACAGAAACATGACACGTGTCCCCAAAGTTACTTATTTATTAAGTATATAAATGTAAAACCAACCAAACAGTCCCTGAAAGTCGTCCAAATACGTTGTTTGTTAGAGCTAATGAGCAACCGTGAACTGAAGTTTCTTATATGGGTGTTTTCTATTCGTGTTCGTCGTCATGATAACTAGTTGAGTTCGTGTTGGTTCGCGCATCTTTTGGTCTTTTTGCTTCTTGTAGGCTGTAGCTTGCTTTCACTACAACAAAATTTATTTTTATATGATGCCTAAAATGTAGAAACATTTAAAAAAACTTAATAGGACTTAAGTTTATAGGACCAAACACTAAAAGCGTCCTATCAAAAAGTGTTACGATAGATTTATACGACATTTTTAGGTGTTTAACAAGTTTTTAGGACGCTTTTAGAATAAGGTGTCGGATCAACTATTTTATACGACACTATTTAAAAAAATGTCCTATAAAAACGGGTTTATAGAACACTTCTCAAAAGTGACCTATAAAGCAACTAATAAAACACTTCATTTTAAAAATGTTCTAAAAAACTTGTTAAAATGATCCCTATAAACCTATTGTAACACTTTTAGAGAAGACGTTTTATAGTTTGGTCTTATAAACCTAAGTTATATGAAGTATTTTATTAGGACGCTTAGACAATCTAAACGTTCTAGAAAGCGAACCTTTTTATTGTAGTGTTTTTGAGGTATATCCGACTCATTTAGTTCTGTTTTTTGTTAATTTACGCCCGTAAAGGATGCAAGCTACAAACGAAGTGTGTTTTCCTCATTTGGAAGCTCATGTGGATCGACAAGATTGGCTACGAGACTTGATTCTTATCACTCGAGCGGGATCAATTTGAATATCTCGCTAACGACCGTCAAACAGACAATAGAAACCACCAATTGTCAAACTTTATGCAATGGCGGACATCTGAAACGCGGGGATTATTGCTTGTTTAAACCTCAAGATTTTAAAAGTACGAACAGTCCGGTCAAGAAGCCGGAAGACGAGGACGATTACTTGGTTCCGAGTTTGTCATTCGGGAATGGTCAATATAGAGGGAAGTTCCCTACATTGACCACAAACCCGCATATCAAACATCCGACAATAAAACCGACCGATAAAGGCGTCGCCCAAGACAACAAACTAAACGCTACAACTGTATCTAAAGAACCTGTGTCGTATTATTCTGATAGACTCCGGTTCTCGGAAATGTTAAGTGGAGAACTCGCTCCTTTGAGTCCAAGAAAGACGAGTATCTTGGTGGACGAACTACAAATGTTGCAGGATTCTAGCATTAGGTTGCCATTGAAGAGAAAAAGCTTTCAAGAAACCGAAAAAGACGGGATTTTGGGAGAGCCCGAGTTGGGCGCTAGAAAACCGACCGATCCTAAATGGACTTTGTTGGGAGACGATCGTAAAACCGATCATGAAGTTCTTGATCCTACCGGTAAATGCAAACAAGACGACCATGGCTGTTTACAGCTCGGCGATTTGGGAAAAAACAGTGATATCTCGGAGACGAACTTTATATTGTGTCATAATATAACCCCAAAAGAAGTCTCGCAGATCATCGGTCAAGAACAGTATTGCAAAGCAAGAAGAACTATAGTTCAGTAAGTATCCATCTATATAGAGATATGAACATATGCATACAAGTAATTGAAGACGTATTCTAGTTCCTATGCACATGTGCATGCTAGAAAATTTATTTACAAATTACTTGTATGCACATATACATAACGTATAGATAAATAATTACTTGGGTTGTTTCTCAGTTTTTCATTTAAGTAATGTTTTTACTTGCCATTATGTTTCAGACAACAGAAAGTTTTCCAATCGCAACTCTTCGAGCTGCATAGACTCATCAAGGTATGTTGCAACTGAAACTATTGGTTTTATAGTTCGTCAAAATATGTTAAAAATCTCTTAATCACATGTGATTATACTCGATAATCGTGTAATCATGTGATTAAGATCGAGACAAGGACCAATAGTCTTACCTGGTAAGTGAGAACGACAACTTACCACAGTAAGCACTTATCAGGTAAATTGTTACATACGATGTTATTTTGGTGAATTAAAATCTTATCCGGTAAGTAAATGATAGTGTAAAATTTTACTGACCGGGTAAATATTTGGTAAACGGCTAAGTTTTGATGATTTAAGTGAGTGAAACTAACACCCAAAACTCAAAAACAGGTGCAGAAATTACTTGCAGAATCACCTGAGCTTCTTCAAGAAGACAACTTCTACAAATTAAAAAAGCTGCCATCTTCTGATGACATTTTCCCAAATCTTGATCATCATCACAGAAATGAAACCTCACTTGCTTTCCCAATTGAAACCACACTCACAAAACCCCTTCATTTCAACACCCCAAATCCAATAGAACTTCCATCACCACCACCACCACCACCATCCACCGCCACCAAACAACCACCGTGGTGCTTCCTCCCTCCACCGGGAAACCAATGGTTAGTTCCGGTGAGATCACCATCTGAAGGACTCGTCTACAAACCCTACACCGGACCTTACCCACCACCAGTTGGTCTCATGGCACCAATCTACGCGGGAGAATTCATCACCGGCGGTTATAACCTTCCGGCATCATACCCACAAGGAATTGGTGTATTTCCAACCACCACCCAACTGTACGGTTCACCGACGGTAACAAAAGGATCGTCTTCTCCGACGATGGAAGATGGATTAATGAAATACAATAATAAAGCGATAAAAAGCTCGTGTAATATAGAAAGTGAAATGCAGGGAAGTAAAGGAGGAGATCATGAGCTTCCATTGTTTCCGACGACACCGACGGTTCAAGATTCCGATCAATGTACAGAGATGGAAAAAGGGTATGATGAAAACAGGATAAAGGTGATAAAAGTTGTACCACATAACCCTAAATTGGCATCTGAATCAGCTGCTCGTATATTCCAGTTCATACAAGAAGAAAGGAAACAGTATGATTAGAGAATGTAAATTAGATTTTCTTTTTTTAAATAATTTTTTTCAAGGATAATATATGAAAATTAATACAGAGGTTGATTTTATTTTTATTTTTATTTTTTTGTTTAAATTATATGAGGAAAATATATATCATATACCCAAATGGGTAATTGTTGAGAGAATTTTGATTAAAATAAAAGTATAAGTTTTTGAGTGAGTTTGATTAATCTTTTGAATGTAATTTGATTTTTGGTTATTTATTTATTTATGGAGACTTTGATCTGAACGCTGACGGTATGTTTAACACATGAAAGTGGGACGAGAAGTGGTGTTTCTAGTGGCGGAAGAGTGAGTAATCGGTAATATTTTACTCGATTAACATTGTAAGGACCAATCGGTCGTAAACACTTACTAGATAAAAATGTTATATACAATGTCGTTTTAATCGACTAAAATTTTACTAGATTAGTTAAATGAAATGTTGTTTAATTATAGATAATCGTTTACCGGGGAAACATAGGGTAAAGGGCCCTTAGGGGTGCTTATGCAAACAAGACAATGTGGGACATCATAAGACAAAATAAAACATGACATGACAAAACAGAACATGACGGTTGTTTCGTGTTTGATAAGACATGACATGATTGGATAAAGGCAGGATAAGACCCGTTAAATGACCAATTTACCTGTAGTGAGATGTTTAACATGTTTTTTTTTTCAAACTAGAAGGGTGCCACAACGAGATACATTTCGATTTCAATGTTTCGTTTTCTTTATCTTAGTCGATATTATAATACGGTTTTATGTGGTTTTGAGAAAACGATAATGTTTTTTATTTTTGAATAAAATATAAATGTAAAGATATCATACAAAATTTAAAAAAATATATTGATATTAGTAGCAGACTATCTATTTAAAATTTCTCTTTTTTCTATGTATTTCTTTAATTCATTTTTTATTTTGATTTAATAAAATAATTTTATACAAAGATAATAATCAAATATTTTGTTAGAAGTCAACGATTATCTTAATTATATTTTAGATTTTTTATATTTATATTTATTTGCAGTTAGTTATACGAATTCAAACATGAAACTTTAATAAGTTATACTTACGCAAAATTTATTTGTAATATTTAATTTTAGAAAAAAATACATCAATAAATAACATTTCATGTATAAGAAATGATTTTTAAAATTTTTTGCCAAATATTTTATAATTTATAATATAGTATAATAGATAATCATGTTTACTTCTGAGTAAATATTTCTTAATGGGCCAGATTTCACACGCCTATTTCTGTACTCTTTTCCGGGTAAGAAGTAACCGACCCGTTACTATATAGTCAGCGAGAAAGACGGTGGAAGAGAAGCAGGAAAGCCTAGACGGCGGCCGGAGACCATCCCTTCATCCGATCATACACAGGTTCTTGCTCAAATTTCCTTTCTCCGATGGTGAATTCACCACCCGCCCCCCTGAATTGAAATTTATTTGATCGATCATTTTAATTTGCCCTAATACGATGAAATATTTTTCGTTTTGTATATTAGAATTTTTTTTCCCTATTAGTTTTGATCTAGATTGATCGCAGATTTTAGATAGTTGTTGCTGACTTTCTTTGATTATAATGCGGGAGAATTACTAATTATTGGATCTAATTAGCGTGTTTGATTTGATTTGATTATTTTCGGTGCGTTATTTTAGGGTTTTGAAGTCTTTCATGGACTGTGTTTTGGAACAGGATTATATGTGACTTGGTTGATTTTGAGAAAATTCTAGTGCAAACAAGTAATGTTCTTAATGTGCAAATATGTATCGATATCTTTAAAGAGATTAGGTTCTTATGTCAAGATCAGTTCATGTAAGGCTGTTGTTAAAATCATCATTTCCTGAATTATTCACATTTGATATAGGGAGGGGAGGGGAGGGGGGGGGGGAGATATTTTACAATCTCAACAATTGGTACAAACCATAGAAACCAATTAATTTAGATATTTATAGAATTGATGAGAGTTTATTTATTATAATTTTATATTTATGGAAGATTATCAAGAGTTCATTTATCATGATTATCGCGTTATATTAAGAAACAATCGAGACATTCATTGAATCAAATATTCATTAGACTAGATGAACGTTTTAGATTGGTTTGTGTGGTTTGTACTAATGATTGGGTTTGTAAACGAAACCACACTCTTTATATATCAATATTTGTGTGTGCGTGCACTAGGGTGCGATTGATACGTGGAACACTATGGGAACAAAAAGCACATATGGTGTGACATTTAGACTGTGACATGACAGAACTGACACCAAAATAGGTGGAGCAGAAATCAGGGAGATGGGAGAAGATTGATAAATTACTAAAGTACTTATGTCAAATTAAAACACTAAAACCTAACCTGTCCAGTCCTGTGTATGTATCAGTTGCACCCTAATAATTAAGTAAAGGTTTCTATATTGTGTTGTGACATGCATTTTATATCTTTGGATATCCAGGTTGCCTCAAGTAACCAGGCTATGTTATGGAAAGTGGTTTCTGCAGCATAAATCCTGTAAACAGAAAATGCTTATGAAAACCACGCGGCTGATAATTGATAGGCAACTGAAGAGAAAATTTTCTGCAAACAAGAAGAAGCAAAAAACAGAATATTCATCCAGTTTGGGCGATCAAGTGGGGTACAGAAAGAAGTTGAACATACAAAATGTTGATGGCATCGAAAAAGGAGATGAGAATTTGATCTTTGGGTCATGTCAGAAAGGTAGTTCAAGTAATTGGCCAGTCAAAACTAACACGAAGTCAAAGACAAGACGTTCGTCCATTTTAAGGAAAGATATCAGGGGTAGAAAGAAACGAAAAATGGAAAAGGTGGTTAAAGTGGACGAAGTGGTTGAACCAATGGATCTAATCTCAGAATTGCCTGTATCCATTATCCACCACATTCTTTCTTTTCTCCGTTGCCCAAGAGATGTTGCTCGAACCACTGTGTTATCAAAGAAGTGGAGATCAATATGTGCTTCATTCTTCACTCTTGACTTTGACCAGAAAAGGTTCAAAATGTTGGGAGGAGATCATATGGAGAAATTTATAACTTTTGTTGACAACTCCTTTACAACCAAACTTGAGCCAATGCATAACATACAGAAATTCAAGCTTTCTTTGTCCCAACTAAGTCCCAAACTAAAACTACGCATTAATGAGTGGATAAGTGCTTCTATAAATAAGGACGTCAAAGAACTTGAGATTCATGTGGAAGAGAAGAAAAAAAGACATTATATGTTACCTAACATTGTCCTTACTGCCAAAACACTAACTTCTTTGAAGTTGTATGGTTGCAAGTTAGATGGTAAAGGTGTCATTGATCTACGTAATCTAAAGGAGCTGTCGATAAAAAATGCTTATGTAAATGCAGATGTGATTCAGGGTTTCGTTCAAGGCTGCCCTTTGGTTGAGGATCTGAGACTAGTACACTGTACCGGGATAGGTCGGCTGCAAATTTCAACTCTTCATAAGCTTAGTAGGGTTGAGTTACACGAGTGCCATGGGCTTGTATGTGTCCATATTGAGTTGCCTAGTCTTCTAAGATTTTTATATTGGGGGAAGGAATCATGGGAATGCAATATAAACTTGGCAGGTTGTGCAAATCTGAAATATTTGACATTGAGAGATTCAAATTTGACAGATGAGTTGTTCCAAGATCAGATGTCTAAGCTTTTTTACCTTGAAAAGTTGGTTCTGAGAGGATGTGACAAACTCGAGAGAATAATCATATTGAGCGTAAATCTTAAGGAACTATCTGTGATCCGATGCAAAAAACTTGAGGTGATCAATATCTACGCACCATACCTATCTGTATTAGAGTATTCTGGAGGGAAGTTCCCCTTTTCGTCCATGGATGTTTTAGATTTGCATGAGGCAAAACTACATTTAGAAGTTAGAAAAAACAGATTTGTTGTTTTGCATGAGCTGTTGGTCTTTCTTCAGAAGTTTGAGAACGATGGAGCTTGGACGTTGGTTGTTAGTTCTAATAAGGTATTAATGTAAACTTTTGTATGATATTAATTTTCATCTTGCTTTTTTCCTCTGTTTTGTGAATTCGTCTATTCTCAAATTTCATTTTGTTTCCTATCGTGTTTGAAGAATATAACTATCCATGAAGAATTACGGAAAATCCAAAATCTGTCATCAAATGATCTCAAATTAGAACTTATCAAGTCCCCGGTGAAGTTGAAGGGTTATGTTGACAATTTACTTCGAATGTCTCGACCAAAGACTTTGTCGTTGGTGTCATCTTCCAGTAGTGAGTTACTAAAGGTAATAAGACTTACCCTTGATGTGATATAGTCATCCGTTTTTTATTTGTTTTCTTTTGTTGAGTTAAAGATAATCTTTTATTGATGGCTTAGGGCCATTTGTTAGCAGCTTAATGAGGCACAGCTTATTTGGTTACCTATACATGAGTGTTTGTTTGGTAATGGCTTAGGGCCATTTGTTAGCAGCTTGCTTAATGAGGCACAGCTTATTCGGTTACCTATACATGACTGTTTGGTAATAGCTTAATGATATAGAAAGTGGCTTATTCAATATGCTTTTAAAGGGTGAGCTTTATGTAGAAAGCCAAGTGTTTTCCAAACCTGTCACTCCAAATTTAAAAAACGCTCCTTCCATCTATGAAAGAACCCTCCTAAACAAAAATCCCAATGTATATAGATAGATCAATCCATACAGACAACTTTGTCTTGTTAATAGAAAACCAACCATACATCCCCTTATTGTTATTGCACCTTTTTGCCATTATGTACTTGTATTGGAGGTCAAGCATTTGTTATGAATTTTTAAAGCTACTGAAAAATAATTGTGAACTATCTTGAAAAATGAAAAATCCCGTCCTAGTAGTACTACTTTACCGATCTCTTTTTTACCTTGCTTTGACTGTATTATTTGCTTTTGCTTTTTAGTCTGTAAAGGAGAAGATAATGTCGAGAGAAGAGAATCCGAAATGTTGTACATATTACTTGAAGAAGTGCTGGCTTCATTACATTAAAGATGTTACAATGGTGGTGTTTGAAGCAGCGGAAATTGGGGAGACGTCACAAAATCTGCAGCAGACTACTTTCAGATTTAACTGGCAATCTTGAACCTGCACAACTAGCACAGGTCATAGTATTTTGGCTTCGAATGAAAAATGGAACAACTGATCCTTAGAATTACATATAGAGAGAGATATGCAAAGATAGATATAAAAATATATATGGATTATGATGCAATTAGTTTTCTTAATTCATAGACTGCAGTTGTTTTCCTACGAATCTAGTTTTTTTTTAAGAGAATGTTTGTTAGCATGGATGTTTAGTTCTCCCTTCGTCCCAAAATAAGTGCCTATTTTCAAAAGCAAGTGCTTAATTTTCAATTGTACCTCCAATTATGAGATGAAGAAACTCATTATTCCCTCTATTGTTAAGGGCAAAACTGTCATTTAATTAACTAAAAAGAGTAAAAGTTATGAAGTTCTAAAAGTATCTCTTTTTCATCGTGGGCATTTATTTTGAGATGGAGGGAGTAATATTTACCATATGAGATCTTTGGATCACTGTCTTTGCGGTTTTGGTGGCGAATTCAGCATTTTGTTAAATCATTCTTTCATGTTCAATGTGCTGAATAGTTCAGTTTAGTGAAGGTATATATGCAAAGGAAAAGCAACATTCATGAGCTGGGTGTTTCAGAAAGTGCTATCCTTTTGCTGCCCACTAATTATGGTGCATGTTTTATAAGTGCCAGTATAATTAAGATCTGTGTCGGAATGGAACTGAAATTGGAAACGGAATTAGATGCTTAACACAGAAGTACTTTATACTTTGTTTGCTCTTTATACCGTCAGCAGTTTGTGTGCATGTTTTAAATCTGTGTTGGAATTGGAATTGGAATTGGAATTGGAATTAGATGCTTAACACAATAGTGCTTTCTACTTTGTTTGCTCTTTATATTGGCAGCAATTCGTGTGCAGACGATTATACACGTTTACTTGGTACATTCCACACATCATTACATCTTTTTTTGCAGGTTCTTCTTTCCAGCAATCTCTTGGACTCAATATGGTATGAAATCCCTTATTACGCACTTAATTATTTTAGTCTTGTGATTCTCTAACATTGTGTTCTCAAATTTGGGAAGAAAAAGAAAGAGAGGGAAGGAAATGAATTTGTTTATATGTGTTCTTGAGAGGAAATAAAGTAAATTTTCAAGGAAAGATGTCATTTTTACAAATATACCCGTATTTATTTTACAACGGGTTGTAACTGATTGGTAGATGTGTAATTTTATAAATATTTTATTTTTTAATTGTTATTGTTTCTTTCCTACCACATTCGGGAGGAATGTTTTTGAAGGAAAATCTAACATTATTCATGAAATAGTTGGTTCCCATGTTTTCAAAATATTTATGGTTACCATTTATACCCTCACCCTCCGGTGCTCACGCTCACGAAGCTAAGGAGTTTAGTACTTTACTAATTTTGTCTCTATCTTTCCGAATTTTGTCCCACCCATATTGGTGGGACATAATAAAATGCATTTTGGTCCCACTCGCGTCCTGTCCCCGTCTAATGCCGTACCAGATGTGAGACAAGTTTTTGTATTGTACTCTCTGGTACCGTATTTAATGTTGTCATGTCCTAGTCTAATGTTGTACAAGATGTGAGACGAGTTTTTGTCCAGTATTGTCACTGATGTTGTCTGTCATGTCACAGTCTAATGCCGTTCCAGATGTGAGACAAGTTTTTGTACTGTATTGTCCTGTCCTGTCCTGTCTTATCACTGATGTTTGAACACAACAGGCAATTGGAAGAGATCAGAGTGGTGGGAAGAAGGGGATGCTATTTGGATCATGGGGAGGAAATGGAAGGAGTTATTGGGATGATGGAGTAGAGAAGACCATACTGCTTGGACCATGGGGAGGAAATGGTGGAAATAATTGGGACGATGGAGCACACAGTGGCGTTCGAGAAATCACGATCGTGTACAGCAGTTGTATCGACTCGATCCATGTAACATACGATGAATATGGTAAACCGTTTACAGCCGAAAAACGCGGAGGCATTGGAGGAACCAGAAGTGCTCAGGTACATATTTTTGCACAATATTTCTCTCTATAACTTTATTTGAAGCTGGAAATGTGTTTGTGCAGACGAAGGATCGTGTGAGAATAGGAATTAGTCTTGATCACTTTTAATATCAAACCAACCCATGAATTGCGCTTTCAGCCACAAGGGTTGTGTTGTGGTGTATGTGATTGAGGTCCTGGGGGATGAGGTGGAATATCTCATCTGCCCAGGGTTCGATTCCAGTGCATTTGTTGGGGGCAAAACTTGGTTTTTGCGAAATTATTTTGTGCTAATTGCCAAGAAAAAGTAATTCATTCTTGTGACTAACCCTTTTGTGTAATTTTGTTATGAAATAATGTCAGATTAAGCTGCGATTTCCGGAGGAGACGTTGATAAGTGTGAGCGGGCATTATTGCCCCGTGGTCTATGGGGGCAGCCCTGTGATTCGATCACTCACTTTCAAGAGCAACCAGCGAACGTTTGGGCCATTTGGTGTGGAAGAAGGAACACCGTTTAATTTCTCGGCCAACGGAGGCCTTATCGTTGGTTTTTATGGAAGAAGTGGGTGGTTTTTGGATTCGATTGGATTCTGCTTATCGTGGCCTAAAACAGGTCTCTTTCAAAAAATCCATATGATGTTTAAAGGATTTAACCCCATGGCTATAAAAGATAGATTCGAACATCATAAAATGAAGGATCAAAAGGTTAATTCTTGGGGCTCTTGAGCATCCGTATATCGGTGTTTGTATGCGTGTTTCGTGGAGCTGGTGTGATGTTTTCTTTGGCTTCTTTCGTGTTATTGTTTGAAGATATTGTATTGTAGCGGCTTTTATAAGCGTATACGCTTTGAATAAATTGATCTTTGGTTGACGAAATATAGGATTCTGGTTGTTTTCGTATTCTGTTAGTTGGTTATTGTTCTCGTTT